ATGAGTTATATTAAATACAAGTACCGTCGAGAGAGGCGAAGAGTAGTAGTTTGTTGGACCAATCAGTTTACGCAAGTTGACAGCGGGCATTGACTTATCGCTTGCTGCTGACGACTACTTCACCTCTGGCTCTGTCAACTACCACTTCTTCAACACCCAAGCTATCCTTTCTTCACCTACACTAGCACCTAACCTATCTTATACTGGGCCAAGCAGCCAAGCAACGGCTACTGATGCTGATTCTATTTCTTCCCTTGGATCAATTCCTTAGTCATGCTGTCGCGGCAGGGCCGCTCATCCGTTTGTAGTGGTTGGATGGGAAATTCCCTATCTACTTATCTTCTCCGTTTAAGAAATCTTTCGTGTATGAAACGGAACTCGCTTGTCTATTAGTTGCTTGCCCGATAGCAAATAGAGAATCTCTCCTCTGATCTTGACCTCTCCCTCGCCTCTGGCTAACACACTTGGATTCTTTACCCAATATAGGTAGCAATAACAGGAAAGTCGACAACTAGGTTAATTCTTTGACTACTTAGTGGAATTCCCCCTTTCCCTAGTATCAGTACCAGTAGCACCGGTTTAAGACCTTAGCGACCAATACCCATACTAGCCCTACCCAGCTGCAGGCTTAGATGCACTAATATCCGTTTTCCACTCCCTTGTTTGGTTCTTTGATTGGTTAGCTCCCGAACACAGGACTTGTTTATAACTTGTACTATCTATGCTGTTGCTGCCGCCCAACGTCTTACGCCGTTGCTTGGCGCCCTGACCTGTTCCATTATCTCACTCCTCGCTTTCAGTCTAAAGTAGCTATAGTATCAGTCTGGTTATTAGTAGTTGAAGAATGAGTCTACCCAGTATCAGTCTTTGCCTCACTGGTATCGGTCTTTGATTCACTGGCTGCATTCTAGGACTTACCAGCTCAATTCTCATACTGCCTGCTTTAAGTCTATCACTGCCTATCATCAGCCTGGTAGCTACTTGTTAGAGACCCTAGCTACATAGCACCAGCCCCAGCAGCACCAGTATCAGCCTCGTAGTCCACTACATCACGCTTACTACCTTTGCTTTCAGTCTTTGACTCCCAGAAGTTGTGTTGCATTCTTTCACTTATGGGTTTGATTCTTGTTAACGGTGGTTAGTCTGACTCCTGTCATTACTGCTTCCATTACGAGTCTAACCAGTTTGATTCTGAGTTTAGTTAGCTCCGTTCTTTGACTGTTGATCGGTAGGCTTACTGCTGAGTTTGATTCTTTGATTCACTAGTTCAATTCTGATTTAGTAGCTCGAGGCTCCATTCTTAGATGCACTAGTTCCATTCTGAGTCTACCCGGTTGAAGTCTGGTTGTTAGTGGGTTGGTTCTTAGATGCGCTGCTTTCAGCCTGTAACTCCACCCAGCTATAGCCTTGGATGTACTGATTTGATTCTAACTCTCTAGACCAGATACCCATACTAGCTACCCTTGCTTTCAGGCTGTGATGCACTGATTGGAGTCTGCCTAGTGGTGGTATCAGGCTTGGTCACCGGGGTTCCACTCTAGGACTTACTAGCTCCGTTCTATGCCTCACTCGTTCCATTCCCTTACTTGTCGGTTGAAGTCTTGAACTCACTCCTCCCATTCTCACTTCCCTTGCTTGCATTCCTAGCAGTAGTGGTTGGAGCCTGTCACTTATGGGGTGCATTCCGAGCAGTACTTGTTAGAGACCCGAGCTACCTGGCATTAGGCTTGTTAGCATCGGTTGTAGTCTCAGTATGTCCAGGTGAAGCCCGTTTCTACCCTGTCGAAGCCTGTAACTCACTTGTTTGAGTCTGATCTTAGGGAGCTCCATTCTTAAATGCGCTGATCTCATTCTTGCTGGTAGTGGGTTGATTCTAGCTACCCTTGCCTTCAGTCTGTGATGCACTGGTTGGTATCTGGTAGTTGGACTCACCGGTTTCGTTCTGAAACTACCTAGCTCAATTCTATCCCTCACTCGTTCCACTCTTGAACTGCCTTGGTTCATTCTGGTTGTTAGTGGTTGCATTCTAGCTTCCTAGCTTACTGGCTGAGTCTACATCCCGAGTCGAATCCTATCAGTCATCCTATAATATGATATATAAGGATTATGGAGTGGAAAAGCCTACTAAGGTTCTCTATCTCTCATGTCCTATATTATCGATTGACTACTTGCTTAACACAAGCACCCGAGCCCACATCTACTTCTTCAACACCAAAGCTATCCTTTCTTCACCGACTACACTAGCACCCAATAAGACTAAGCCAGCTCCGGATCTAGCCTCTGATCTTGTAGACTCACTGCTTCCCTTTCTGACCCCCCATACTTATGCTTATAACCAAGTCCTTTCTTCGGGAGTCCTGTATTAAGAGTTGGTTACTTATATCATCTATGAAACCTAGTTCATGGTTGGGTTAGTTACCGATTCAATCTACACCTTAATTAGGACACCTCGCTTCAGAAGTACTGAATTCTGCTTGGACAACTCTTGAAGCTATATCCTATCCGAACTCTTGAAGCTATATCCTATCCTTGGTTACTTCTTTCTAGAATACCTAGTACAGAGAATGGATCTTAAGAAGGTAAAGAAGAAGCATCATCCGCAGGAGCTGGAAAGTAATCAGGTAAAGATACTGGTTCGGTGCTTGTGTTTAGCAATGCAAGTGGAGGTCGGAAAAAGTCATAGATTCGCTTTTGAGTTTGGCAGTGAGGTTCGGTAGAGCACTTATAGAGAGTGAGCTTGCCTTTCTTTGCTTTTGTAGTAGTAGCTCATCCCGTTGTCGGACTCGGTAATAACAACTAGTAGTAACTTGCCTGGTTGCTTGGCTACGTTTCCTCTTTGGGTGCAAGTCAGGTAGTCTCAAGAAAAGAAGCCGGTGATTAATTCTAGGATCCATAGGCTTGAGCAGGTACAGGGGCATAATATCTTACTTTACAGGACTGGCTTCTTCAGCGCTAAGTACCGAAGTCGAGTCGACAGAAGAATCTTCCAATTCCGGATCAACAGCAGTTATAGTTTCGGTTGGAAATGAAAGTGTAGTGATCAAGTTTGCTGCCCGTGCTAAGGAAGCAGCAGGATAGATATGGGAAAGGTGAAAGTGTATAGTTCCGGTGTTGTCGACGAGAATGAATTTCCCCTTAACCGACACTTAGTTCTTAGGCACTAAGTCGTGGAGTTCCATAAGCAGAATAGAAGTTCTCATGCCCACGTAGAATCAGAGAAGAGGTGTGTGTTGACTTTTGGTCAGGTGCAAGGGTCCATGTTTTTAAGACTAAATACATTTTACGGAGGTTGGTTGTCCTGTACCAGAGAATAGAGTTGCTTTGAACAAGTCAGATGTTAGGCTCAAATTCATTCGTTGGCCTGTTTCTTAGTGAAATAGCATTTCCCATTAGCAGAGTCAAACTGTGATGGCCTTCTTAAGCCCTTGCCTTGCTTGTTCTTTTTCTGTGTGTGCTTATATTCCTTTTGAAGCTCGGTTCGGTTCTGAAAGTGGAGTTGCATCGTGTGGTGTTCAGTTGAAAGAGAGTAAGCTGTAGTAGATTCAAAGTAAGGATCCTGGATGAAGTGACTATATAACAATATGTAGTATTTGTGTGCACTAGATCAGGCTCCCCCTCCAAGTAGGACTTTGATTATTGTACTTACTATTATAAGCCTTATACTAACTTACATCATACCATTAGTATCAGCCAACAAAGCCAACTACTCTACCTCAATTCGAACTTGTATACTTGTCTGTGCTTGTAGAAGCCCTTGTTACATCCTTTACAGTAGTCATTTCTGCCTTTATTTACTGTCTCTCAAACTTACAACTCCGGGTTTGAGTCTTGCTTGTAAGTGTGAGCTTGCCTTGCATTCTATATCTCTTGTTTCAAACTGACCCTCCTTGCTTCGTTCCTGCATTGGGAGTTTGCCCCAGCTACACTCTTTCGATCCGGATCTTCGCTCTACTATATCTTAAGCTAGCACTCCGGCGCATCAGGCTGACTTTCAAACCATCTCTCTCCTCAAAACAAACCCGTTTCTTAGCCAACTGAGCAACTAATATCACTCTGTAGCTCCCTTGCGCTTAGTCTTACTTTAATAGCTAGCATTCTCCCTATCCCTTTGCCTTAACTCTTTAGTTCGGAGATCCACTAGGCTGACTATCTTGACTTTGCATCTAGGACTACTGATATGGATCCTTTAACAATAGTAAATAGGAGAAAGGAGCTACTGACAGGCAGACCTTCCCTACTAACTATTAGAATCGAACACTACCAAAAAGAAGAGAACCAAAAGTCAGACTGAAACAAAGAACTAGGACTTACCCCGCTAACTGGGAATACGCTCCTGCCACGTGAATCAAACTCCGCGGTAGAAGCATCAAACTGTAGAGGAGTACCCGAGCCCGAACCTTGCTTTTCACACTTAAACTATGGTATCTCTTTCTTTTACTCCGGGTACGATGTAGTACATCTACTATACTAATAGGAATAACCTAATAGGCCTAGAGAGTATGGGTATGATCTAAAGCTCCGTAATAGTAATATCATAATAGTAATTAATATATAATGATTGTTTCCAGAGCGTAGTAAGAGAATCATTGGTGAATTTGAACTAAACAGTAAATCGAAGGAATAAGTCAAAGAATACGAGTTAGGAGCGGGCAAAGTGAACTACAGATTTGAGGGCAATAGTCTAAGTTTAAGATAGAGGAAAGTTGGACTCGAGCTAACAGGCGCGATGTGAGATCTGTGGTTGAATTACCAGTTGGGAGCTACAGCGTTGACAGTGGTGCAATTCCTTATTAAAAGCTTAATGCTGAGAATCAGTAGTCATAGGCTAAGAGAAGGAGATACTAAAACATAGGCATTGCGGGGACAACTACAAGAGCGAGCCCGAGGCAAAGAC